GTAACAAGTGCCTTACTAGTAGTAACAAGGAAGCTATTAGAAACAAGTGCCACGCTACTAGGAACAAGTGCTTCGCCGATGGCCTTTCCGCCCATCTGGGAAGTGTGAGTGCGCAAGTGCACGAGAGCACGCACACATACGCACGCGCTGAACAACTCTGCTCAGCAAAGTGAACTGAGTGATTGTTCGTCGCCAGCACAGTGCAAGCGCTCAACACTTGTGATGTAGGTGTGGTTTTCCACCTTGCGCGCAACAAACGCAAGCGATCCTACAAACAATATTGATAGCTCTGAATCATTGGAATCATTGGCTTATACTCTCTTTGAGGGCATCGGAAAACATGTTATTTGGATTGACGGCATCATGTTTAAAGGAAAATGCTTTGCCATGTGGCACGGTTGCTGGGACTCACCTTGAAGTGTGTTTGGGCGACACCAAGTTTACTCCATATTCATCGCTAGTAGATTGGAAAGAATTGCTAGGTTGAAGATTCATTTTGCTCGAAATCTGCTCTGTGATGCGGGAGGCACGGCTGCGCACCTCGCGGCAGGGGTTATTGGCTGCCTTAAGCTGTCGCGTTTCTCAGGGCCGCGGGGAGTTGGCGGCAGAAGCCGCTTGGTTTCCTTCGTCAAGTTGGGTCCAGTTGTGTCGTGGTCCAGCTTTCTCAGTTTTTGTTTTGCCTGAAGCAGCTGCAGAAGGGTCACTCACATCTTTTTCAGACAATTTTGCATTGGAGGCCATTGCTAGCTGCTAATCCTTATGTTGGAGACTTCCTCCATGTTTTCAAGTGTCGAGGTCTTGTCTCTCAGCGCTGGTCACGCTTTGATGGCGTTGCTGGGAGATGCTGGGCGTTGCCTGGCCCTCTCTGTGCGCATCGTCTCTTCTGCGTCACACTCTCCAGACGGGACTGGCATCTCTGACTCTCCAAAACGTAAAGAGTTGGAGCGGAATGTCAGCGCTATGTCTCAAGCGTTTCCTGCACTACCAGACCTCACTGAACGCCACTTGGCTCTTAGGGAGCCGAAAGAGGGAACAGTTCGGGTCTTCGCTTGGGACAGCTGGGGACAGCTGGGGAGTGGGGCCACGAGCGAGGTCTTAAGCAACAGGGCCAATACGAGAAGTACATCAAATGGAGAGAAGGCAACTTGACTTGAAACTGGCAATTAACAAGGTTCGCTACTAGGAACAAGTGCATCGCTACTAGGAACAAGTGCCTTACTAGTAGTGACAAGAAGCTATATCAAAAGTTTGGCAATACTTGAAACTGTTGAGGCTACATGCAATGGCGATCTGGAGGAATTTCTGGATCCAAAGGTGAAATTGTCGAGAACTCCACGACCTGACTCAGTTGGACAGCGATGCAAAAAGATGGAAATCTCCGCTCCTAGTAGCGAACATAGCCCTAGTAGTAAGGCCAGGAGCCCCTAGTAGCGTCGAACGCTAATATTTTATAACTGCATTTGCAGCCTCAACGATAGAAGCCTCAGGATTCAGGTAACAGCGTTGTGCCACAGACTCCAAAACATTGGAGTGATTCACCAAAGAGCGCCTCCGGCCAAGTCCACTCTATCGTTACAAGTCGACATGAAGCACGAAGGCAAACAACAGGAACGACAGGTAACCAGTTTATCCCAGAGAAGGTCCTCGTTACTGATTCCAAAGCGTGCGCGCGCAAACAGAGGCAACGCCAAATATCGCCACACCAACAATAAATAGATGATACTTGACAACACACCATGACAAATGCGACAGACGAGACGGGGTAAGTGGATCTTGAGATGGGGCAATCGGTCAGAACGATACGAAACGTTTAGCAGCGTGTAGCAGCGTAGCAGCGTAGTGGTCAGAAAAATTGCCACAAAAACGCGATTCTTGGCTCGTGTGATTCATTTCAGTACGCAACGGTAATTACGCAAAATTCCTACGCAGATGGGCATCGTGTCCATTATTCATCGCTAGGATCTATTAGATTGGAGGCCTTTGCTATTAGGAGCGATCGGACGCTACGAACGGAGCGATCAGACGCTATTCGCAATTCGGTTGGAGGCCTTTGCTCGCTATTCGCAAACTGCTACTAGGAACAAGTGCATCGCTTCTAGTAACAAGTGCCTTACTAGTAACAAGAAGCTACTAGTAACAAGTGCCACGCTACTAGTAACAAGTGCCTTGCTAGTAGTAACAAGAACCTACTAGAAGCTAGAACTAAGTTTAATTAGAAACTCTTTCAGGCGGTTCGCGACCTGGGCTCCATGAAGCGAAGAGTACGGCTCGAAGGTTCCTCGTACACGCGTGGAGAAACGATGGATTTGAGACCACCTGCGACACCAGCAGTCGCCAAGGAACAAATATGAAGGACAAAATGATGCACAGAGAAGTGCACTCCACCTTGACTTCAAAGGGTGTTGAAGTTGCAAAAGCCATAGAATGACGTTTCGTCACACGCGTTTAGAGCGAGATCGATTTGCAACACGATTAGGATCAAGTTATTGCAATGGACGCCCTTTTATTGCTTCAGTGGCAAATCGCAAGACAGGCCCTTGGCGGTTGGTCATCCGATTGCTGCAACTGCTAGAGTGGATTGATTTGGTGATAGGCGTACATATTTGTGCCATTGGGCATACAAGCCCACTGTGCTGGGCTCACACTCGAGACTATGATCAAGTGAAGAAGGACGAAAACATAGGAAGGTTTTGAGCCGTGCCTACGATGCATGTTCTCCAAAAGTTTGATGTTTTTTCTTTCATCGAAGAGATTGCGCGCGCGCTCTTTTTTGTGGAGCGCGCTGTTTAAAACCTTTTGCCAAAACTGGTTGTATGTTTGAGAAACTTGCACGCAAAACTTGTTGTTCTTCTTCAGCAAAACTGCAAGTTGTTTCTGCCTGTCTGGATGCGGAGAGTGTTCCATTGCGCCAGTCTTGAATACATCAATAGTAACAAGAAGCTACTAGGTTGGAGGTCATCGCTCTTAGCTTGGAGGCCATCGCTACTAGTAACAGGAAGCTACTAGCGCTACCAGTAACCTCTTTCAAGGCTTTCAAACCTTTTTTCGGCTCAAAGTTCTGGTTGCAACCTCACAACCTGGCTGGACGATAGTGGCCTGGCGTGCAAAAGCTTCTTTGCGTCATGCAATTTATGTTAAAACGAGAAGATGCACTTTCTTTTCGCTAGGTTTTCAATGAGATTTCTTTTCTTCCTTTCCGCGTGGCACCTATGGGGTGCAACTGGCGAAGGTCTTTGTCAGGCCAAACACAGCCTGAGCACAGTGACCGTCAGTGACAATTCTTTTGCTATTAGATTGGAGGCCGTCGCTCTTAGGTTGGAGGCCATCGCTATTAGGTTGGAGGCAGTGACTTTTTTTTGCGTCAGTCATTTGGAAGTTGCCTGAGAGGAGACGGAATCCGCGATGGAGTATGATGAAGATATTTTGGTCGATAGCATGAACACAGAACTCTTGCAGGCTCAGTCGCACATAAACCCGATCACTGCCCCATTCTTTCGTCTGCAGATTGGGCAATGCCGCATTTGATCGACATGACGTTCGGAAGGAAGAAAATGGAAGGGTCCTCTGCAGAAGAAAGAAGAACATAAGAGACTATCCTCATTCATACATACTTAGCTTAGGTAGCAACAAGTGCCACGCTAGTAGTAACAGGTGCCTTACTACTAGGAACAAGAAGCTAGTACTAACAAGTGCCTTACTACTAGGAACAAGTGCCACGCTACAAGACCTGGATTCTCATTCTTCATTCATCTTCTGCCCAACAGGTGAAGTTGGAACTGTCGAAAAATCAGCCACTCGTTTGCAAACTGCATGCTTTCGTTCCTAACGTTCCTTCTGCACAGATCGTGTTTTTCCCCGAAAGCGTAGTGAAGGGTTCCCGTTTAATAGCCTGGGGGTTGGGGGCTGGAGCTGTGCTGGCCTCTCTTGTGTTGCGCCATCGCCAGTCGTCGCGGGACTCTACGCTCGTCGATCAAACCCTCCTGTTGCAGGAAGCTCTTGGAAGACAGATTCATGTCAAATGGCGTGGACACTTTGCAAGCGTGACGGGCGATTTTATTGCGCAGGTGCAGCGTTCCAATGTCACGACGTCAGTACTTTGCATCCGAACGCGCAGGCAACGGAGGTGTCAAAGAGGCGAAAGGTTGCGCAGGCCGCTCCAATCGGTTGCCGCATTGTTCATGGTCCAGTCCTTCGATTTTTCCTGCGTGACTCCCGTTGAGGCACAAGCACAAAGCCCAATTAGGACGAAAGAGGCCGGCGGTTTGGGGTCTATGCTGGGGTACTGTAAATTTTCTCCAATAGGATGGCAGGGTGCCTAGCACGGAGACCGTTCGAAGTACAGGCGCCTAATTCTTCAGGTGGATCACGTGCTGATTCGTGGCTGATTTCTTTCAATCCAGGTCCCAGCAAAGGCTGAATCTTCGCAGGTTGCGTCGCTTGGCGATAAAAGGAAGGGTATTTTGTCAAACCAATGGAGAACAAGGGAAAAGTGAAGACAATGAAGAAAAACGCATGGAAAAACAAAGAAAACCAATGGGAAACAAGGAAAAAATTGGAAAATGAAGGAAAACAAAAACAAGGGAAACCGATGGAAAACAATGAAAAAGTGAACAAAATTGAAGAAAACCAATGGGCGTGAAGGAGAAGAAGGCTGGTTATCTATATGTACATCGCGAATACGACCTGTCAACTGCAGGAGAGTAGACTTCAGATCATGCGCGTACTATGGGAACGTCGTCTACCACGACTATGTCAAGTATGTGCTCACGCAGGAGGAGTATGCACTTGTCTTCAATCTCATAGGTGGGAGGAAGGTAGCCAACGTGGAGATTGCTGGGGACCTGACAGAGTTCCTCGAATTGGGATCAGTATTCCAGGAGAATTTTTTCCCGAATTGGAGAACCTTGATGATTGTCGAAGAGGTTTGGAGCTGTCATTCTTGCACTTCTATGGGAGCACCAGGCATAACCTGACAGTCAACAGGAAGAGGAACAATTCCCCAGGATTAGAGATCACAAAAGAGGAGGAACTGTATAGCGAGGCCCTTCGAAAACGGTATATTCAACCATTGGGCTTCAACCATTTTGCAGGTCATCACGAGCGACTCAGGTTATTGGGGACGCCGATGTGCAGGATCACGACGATGAGCAAAAGGAGAAGACAGATGAGAATCAATATGAGGATGTGGTTATGGAGGAAGAAGGACAGCCCCAACGGAAGGAAGACGAGAAGAAAGAAGGAGGTGGACCGTCGGTCACCGTTCCAGATGAGGAGACCGATGACAATGCCATGGGGGCGAGTCCCAAGCGATCTTCCAGAAGAACGACCGCAATTGAGAAGGACGAGGGACCTCAAGAGGACATTCTCTATTGCTACGACTGAGCCTTGGGAGATAAACGAGACCCTCTACCGAGAGAGCAAGCCTCTACCCAAGCCGTCAAGCTTCATGAAGACGCTCATGAACCTCAGGAGGTTTATCCACAGGACTGAATCCACTTGTGTGGCGCGCTTCGTCTGTGGAGGTGGAGATCATCATTGGAGAGAATGTCGTGTCGAGGCATTTGATGAAGAAAAGAAGAAAATCATCGATGCAATTGAGCACATGGATGCCACCCTGGTGAACCAAGTGACCGAAGGAGACAAAGAATATGCGGCGCTCATTGGGGACCCAGATATGACTGCTACCCAAGAGGAGTGGTATGACTTGAAGACCATCCCTGGGGAACAGACACGCGACAGTCCATCGCCAAAACAATCACGGAGACAGAGACCGTCGACTGATGATTCTCAAGGATCAAGACCATCAAAGAGGACTGACCAAAAGGTCGAAACTGAGGCAGAAATGGAATTTGCCTATGAGAGAGCAGTGGAGAGGATGCTCAAAGCCTACGCGCCTCATACTAAGCCTGAGTATTTGTCTGATGTGAGTGATCTACTTGATGGCGGTGAGCACAGGGTGAATGGCATTCCTTTTGATGAGACAGGTCCCAAAGACAGAAGGGAATTGGACAACATCTTGGGTTCGGCAGCGTTCAGATCCCCTCAACTGCCAGACATTGACAAGATAGCAAATGATCCCTCACAAGAACACAAGGAGGCGTACATGCAGATCGACCCAAGGTGTCCCTGCGGATACTTGGACGTGATCCCACAACATGGTATAAGATTTGCTGACGCTACCTGGTCAACAAGGAAGGATGGCCCCCCCAGAGTTCGACCCGAGCATCCTCATCAACAAGCGCTCACCATGGGGGACATATGTGACAAAGGTGTCCGGGAAGTCGATCATGACTTTGAGGTACAACTCCGGGAAGAAGTGGGTGAAGGACAAATACATCAAGAATAGATACCACGAAGGAGTCAGAGCAAACGATGGTGCCTGGGTGAACATTCACGAGATCATGAAGAAGGATTGGATCTTTGATGACGGTTATAAGTACCACAGTGAATGGGACCAGGGCAACAACAATGAACTGATGGCTTCAAGGTATCGCACTATGGTCGCTTGCGCGCAGCACAGTTGGAAGATATCGAGAAAGGTGAGATATCAAATCTTGGCAGTGAGACTGAAGAGAGGAGAGAGCAAGGATCCGGAGATGAGGCAGTATTGGGACCAAAACGGGTTCTGAGATGTTTAGTTTGTGGCCTAGACACGAGCATCGGGGGTCCGCAATGAAGCGTCCTCAAAGCATTGCAGGTGAAAGGGTGGTTGCAAGGAGTACGGCCCCACAAGTGTGATTATTTTGCACTTGGATAACATTGGGGTGGCCATTTTGCACAAGCTTTCCACGCAATAGAATTTTAAAATCTGTCCAGTTTGGTGTCCACCCCCACTCTGGAGGCCAACCAGAGGAAACCAGTTCGGCGCCCCAAGCGAGGCTTGGCCCTAACTTAAAGACTGCGTGCTTCGAATCACGCAGATACCACCAACGCCAAACCAGATTCAGGTTGATGTGAAACTTGTTCCGAAAGGCCCGCCGGAAGTGAAATATAACCAGGCCTAATGTCTGCCGCTGAATTGAAACTTTCGAAAGGTTGACGTTGAAGCCTGTGAAAAACAAGCGAAACAATTGTTTGATAGGTTCACGCAGCGATAAAACTCCCACTGTGTAAGGCACATTGGTAACTCAGGGTGCCGCGGAGTTGCGACGTGCGGGGCTGCAGCTCTTTCCGCCTAAAGGTACAAACAAGTTCCCTGGAAGAGTGTCTTACAAGAATGCATAACAGAGCGCCCCACAGGAGTGGCCCGCAAGGCTGTCCCACTCAAGAATGTTGTGAAAGAGGGTGCAGCAAGAGCACCCCACAAGAATACCTCACAGAATGCCTTGCAGACAGATTCGCAAGACTGTCCCACAAGAATGTCCTACTAAGAGTGCCGCACAAGAGTGCCCCACAACAGTGTCCCATAAGAGTGTCCCACTAGAGTGTCCCATAAGAATGTCCCGCAAGAGTGTCGGACAGAATGTTATAAAAAAATGTTCCGCAAGGGTGCTTGCGCGGCACGAGGGCGTTTTACTAGAAGAATGTCAGGCAAGAGTGTCAAACAATGATTGGTTGTTTGTTTTCCGTGTCTGCGAGCATTCGGGCATGTGGTTTCTAAATTTCTCCTTGATGGGAATGCCGGAGGATAACGTGTTGCCGCTTGAGTTGGCGCGGAAGTGTTGAGCTGTTTTTTTCCTCTCAACGCAGAGGTTGGACACAGTAGAAACAACCACTACGGACGCAGATGGGTCTCCAACAGATGACGGCAGTTCGTTTGCAGCTACAAACCACTTCAGTGAAAGTCCATGCTAGCAGTTTTTTGGAACGTTGATTTTGAATTGTTTGTTGGTGCACTCAGTGAACTCTTTGCGTGTTCAGCTCCAAGGTACAAACACAGCGACTTGGAACGTGTGTGAGAGCATGGTGCCATCATTTTCGCGGATTTTGGTGTTTTCATTTGTCCACATGTTGTGGCTGTGTTTGAACCCGCATCGCACACAGCTGATTTATAGTGTATATACTTACACAAATCACAAGCTTAACGCAGGGCGATGCCCATAATCCGCAAGGAACCTTTTGCTGGAGTCCACGAAGAGTTTCAGGTATCAAAACAAACCGCAAGAAATGGAAGTCTGGGCGCGGTTTTTTTTTAGTTGAGATGTTTCCTGAATGCACGTGCCCCAAAACTTCTCTTAACTAGTGAGCTGCGCCCATTCTCGTCCTGCTTGATCGCTGTCGCAACATGACCACAAGGAGTATATGGATGAGGAATGGAAGACGAACAGATTGCGCATGGCCATCTCTAGTAGGTTGGAGGCCATTCCTACTGGGTTGCTGGCATCGTTGTTGAGTGACAGGCCATTGACTTCGTTGCACCGACCTAGAGGGAAAGATCCTGATTGTTGCCCCAGTACACTTTGATGCCGGAGAGACATAGCTAGGTAAACGAAATTGAAAGTCACAGGTACATCGGAAAGTGTTGGTGAAAGAAAAGTGGATGGGCCTCCAACTTACAGCTTGGGAAACAAGAGAAAGTTGTCATGCCATGCCAGGGTCCTTGGCTGAGCCAGGTGCCATTTTGAAACAAAAAGGGGAAACAAAAAGGGAATTTCTACTAGGAACAAGGATGCTATAAGAAGCTCCTGGCCATACTACTAGGAGCAAAGGGCATTACTACTAGGAACAAGGACGCTACTAGTAACGAAGGGCATTACTACTAGTAATTCCGGTGTTTTGGCAAACATTCGGTTCCCATGACAGGGTGGCTTGCGTTTGCGTAATGGCGTGTTTCACCCTAGCAAGTTAAATCTCACACGGTTGGCCTCCAACCTAAGAGCGTCCTCTTGTTCCTAGTAGCAAGGCCAGGAGCGCCCCTAGTAGCGATGCCTTTTGTTACTAGTAGCGTCCTTGTTCCCAGCTTCAAAGACCGTTCCTAGTAGCTTCTTGTTACTACTAGTAAGGCACTTGTTACTACTAGCGATGCACTTGTTCCTAATAGCTTCTTGTTACAGGTGAAACGATTCCCAAAAAAGCTTCGTGCTACTAGCAGCAATGGCGTCCACCCTAGTAGCGATGGCCTCCAACCTACCTTCGGGCGCCCGACTTAGCTGCTTGTTGTAGCAGCTTCCAGACGCACCTCATCATCGTACTTCGTGGCAGTAACATCTCACACACACACACATCATGAACCACTGAATTTGTCAATGTTTTTTTAACGCTTCAAGTTAATTTTTTGTTAGATTCCGTGTGATCCTGTTGCTCTTGCATTGCTTTGGTGCCAACCTGTGGGTCAATTGCTGGTCCCAGGCATTGCTATTGAAGACTTGTGAAGACCATTGCAAGTTCGTTGGTTCGGCCATGTGGCAATACGATCCCGACTGTGGTGGCTGCAAGACTTCTTTGATGCAAAATTACGCAGCCCAGACACCGGGAGTTTGCGCAAGCTGGTGCCAGTATGAGGGGCCTGCAACATGGCAGTATGATCCAAATTGTGGTGGCTGCACACAGACAGCGATCGCAAACAGAAGTGCAGGCCCAGTGTGCCTCGCCTACTGCCAAAATGTGGGAACAGCTGTTTGGCAGTATAACCCCGACTGCCAGGCATGCAAGCAAGTTCAATTAACACAAGGTGGCAAAGGGGAGTGCAAAGACTACTGCCAGTATGAGCCTTCAAATGTCTGGCAATATGATGCAAATTGCGATGGGTGTGTTGCCCCGTCGACGGCTTTGGCGCAAGCTAACTTGCATGATACGAAGAGGGCCGTGAGCAGCAGTCAGGCGTGCAACAGTTGCTTTTGATGTTGTTTGCACTTGGTTGATTGGTTGTTTGCGCTTGTGATGTTTCCCTTTTCAGTGTTTTGGTTCTTCAGTTGATTGGAATTTGCGTTGACATTTCAGAGGTCTGCCAGGACTACTGCACCTACATGGGCTCCGTGCTGTGGCAGTATGATCCAGAATGTCAAGGGTGCAAACCGTCCCTTTTGACCAAGAAAGAATGCAAAAACTATTGCAACTTGGCAACGGGTGAGAGATCAACATCAGTTCCGGATGTCACCTCAACTGCGAAGGTTTTATTGAACAAATGAAACAAATAGTTGCAAAAAATGATCTTCAGATTCTGTTTATGTTTGCAAGTGACGGCGCAGGCAAGCACGAGCCCTCGGAGGTGTGGAGCTACGATGCCAGCTGCCAGGCAGACCTTTGGGCGGCTGTAGAAACGCCAAAAGCATCTCCGGTGCGAGCGGGTTTTCGGCAAAGTCTAACCGGGAGGGGAGCGAGCGTTGGATGCGGACGCTGCTGAGCACGCCGCGGTTCTGCTGTGGAGCTGGTGTTCTGCAACTGTATGTGCGGATGATCACGCGGTGCTGCTGTGGAGCGGGGGGGTGCGAGGATTGGAGGCAGACCGCTGCGGACGACCATGCGGTGCCCGGATTGCGTTGGACTGTCGGATCAAGCCCCAACATGTCTCTGTTACGTTGCACTATGTCCAGTTTATGTCAAGAGCTCTTTTGGATGGCTCTCCCAGTTGATCCAACTCATGGTGACTGTCATGAAAAAGGAGCGGCTGGAGTTTGGACCGTCTCGGTGTCGCCGAACACACTTTGTGGCTTTTGCTTTTGGGTTTGCGGGCTCACCTTGCTTTAAAATTAGGGTTTCTTAGCATCTGTACTGAGCGTGCCGACTTGTGCTTCGTTCTCACTCAGGCAACAGCTCTCAAGCGCTTGCTCAGTAGTGCGCAACTTGCGCGAATTAGTGCTCAACAAAGTCGTGCTTAACTGGTCCTAGTTGCTAACGCTAACTTTAGAGTCGCTTTTCGAAGGTGTACTAGCGTCACGGTGTCCAAGGTCGCCATAGCACCAAGGTAACCCTTTGAGGTGTTATTTTTGGAGGCCAGCGCGCGCTTTTCAGCCGCGCGGAACTCTAAGTTTCAGTGACAGCGCTGAACCACATGGCATTGTTTAGTTTTCTATGTGATTCAAACGGCCTTGGACGCTACTAGGGGCTCCTGGCCTTACTGCTGGGAACAAAAAATTACTAGGAACAAGTGTTGAACTTAATTTAGTTTCACTCAGCTAGCTGTGACCAGGAACAGTAAAGCTACATTAAAGCGATATACAATTCTTTTAAGCTTTGATTGAACGCGGAAAGCGCCAAGGAGCCAGGGGTAGTAGTGCACGATGTATTTTTTCACATCAAACAGATTGCTTCAATAGCGACGCGGGGGCAAGCGCTGGGTTGGTGTCCGTTGCGTCATCGTGCTGCGCTCCATCTGCGGATAGTCGAGGCACAGTCCAAGGGAATGGAGCCCATTGCTTTTAGGTTGGAGGCCATCCGTATTAAATTAGGTTGCAGGTATCACTTGGTTTGCTGCGGGTTGGTTCTGGAAGAGTCAAAAGCCAACAGCAGTTGCCAGCTCCAAGAAGAGGAAGATGCGGCTGGAGGCGGCGACCAAAACAAACAAGCGGACTGGCGGAAGCGAAACCAAAAGGCCCTTGTTCCCACGTGTTTTAATCTGGCGCGCGATCAATTGACTTGTCAGCCATGGATAGGCAATGCGAGCTCGTTCCCAGCGAGGGACGTGCGACTGAGCGCCCGGAGCCACAAGGTGACACCAAGGTCGTTGGCGCCACAGCGGGGACACAAAGCCGAAGTAAATCGGCGACAGTGGAGTACACGTCAAGGATGGTGAACAAATGCGCGGCGCCCAGGAAGCCGGGGTGTTTGCTGTCGTCCCAGCCGGATGTGTTTCATTAGGAACAAGAAGCTACTAGTAACAAAGGGCATCGCTACTAGGAGCAAGGACGCTACTAGTAGCTCCTGGCCTTACTAGGAACAAGAAACTACTAGGAACATTGTTCCCGATTTGACCCTATATCACAGGTCAATGATCTGACCGGACGTATGACTAAGCTCATGAACCGAGCAGGTCTGAGCCAATTTTTGATTTGCGCGGCGACGCATGACACTTGACTCGTGTCCACCTCTCGCTGACTTACCTCTTCTCGGCCTACCCCTGCCTTAAAGAACGAACTATATACAAATATAAATAGAAAATTATTAAATAACAGTCATAATGGAAACTTATTGTTTTTCATTTCTTTCTCCGGAGGGCTGCACGCCTACGTTGATGGAGAGCGAGGAGGGCGAGTGCCAGGAACACTGCCGACAGATTGGGCCAGTCCTATGGCACAAGGCGCGGATGGAGGATCGGCGTGTGTAGGTGCAAAGTGTTTCACTTCAATTATTTACTTATATATGTTATTTGTGAAAACAATTGCTTTTCTTTTTTCACTTCATGTTTAGAGGTAGAGTAGGTCAGCTGGCCAACTCACCCCACGCAGCCGCTCAACGAACCCATCCGCTGAATGACGCCCCATGCACATAGCTCACGCGTCGGATGTCGCAGTTTGTCTCCAGTTGAAGCTTCTTGTTACTAGTAGCTACTTGCTCCAAGTAGCGATGCCAGGAGCCCCTAGTAGCGTCGTCGCTCCTAGTAGGAAGGAAGGCCAGGAGCCCCTAGTAGCTCCTTGCTACTAGATTATCTTTGACGTGTTGACATTTGGTCCAAGTTTGTTCACAGGCGGCGTGGTTCCTGTGAGGTTTTGGGAAGACATCGTAAAACAGTTTGCCAAACATTGTGTCAGTGGCATGAACAATGGGTCGCAACAACGTACTATTGCTATATATTGGGTTGGAGGCCATCGCTGGTACTATGCCATTCCACTGTGATGAAACATTGCTAATCTCAAGAGTTTCTTGTACCCTGGTGATTCCAGTGTGCACTGACCTTCAAGAATAGATGGCTAGCCAGCTACATGCTTTGCAGAAAGGGGCGGAAGCACCATCGTCAGTCAGGATTTTGTCCACTTCTCACGCTGCTACCCTGCCGACCCTGCTTTCACTTGGGGGCAACATTTTTGTGACTAGTAGCTTCTTGTGACTAGTAGTAAGGCCAGGAGCCCCTAGTAGCGTCCTTGCTCCTAGTAGTAAGGCGAGGAGCCCCTAGTAGCTTCTTGTTTCTAGAAGAAACTGTGGAACACCCCCAAAAGTTTTATTCTTACAAAGTTGACGCGTTTTCCTATTACAAAGCCGGCCTCAATTCAGCTAGTCTATGGCCGTGTCTTTGACACTTTAACATTTCTCAACCCGTCCACACGTTGTGAGCGTTGCGAAGTTTTTCATTGAGTTACTTTTTCAATGTGTACGTAGTGAGTTTGACCTTTTGATGTTCTGAAAACATGTGTTTTGATGCTTTAAGGATGCTTTAAGTTGATGTGTCGTGTGCCGGTTCTAATCACTTTACCGGACCATTTTGCCGCATATGAGCTTGCCTGGGTCAGTGTTGGGATCAGAATGTTTTTGTGTTACCTCAGGCAATGTGAGCGTTGAGATTCTCGTTGAAAGCATCTTTGGGAAAAGGTTTGACGCTCTTAGGTTAGAGGCCATCGCTAGTAGGCTGGAGGCCATCGCTCTTGGCGCATCGCTGCTTTTGTGAGGTCTCTGGATGTGATTCTTGCAAGAGCTCGCTGCTTCAGACCTGGGCCAAGGCAGAAGCTGGTCCATGCCAGGAGAGCTTTGTGCTTGGTGTGAGTCGTGCAAATTAACATTTAAAGGATAGTACTAGGGCCTATAGGGGCTCCTGGCCTTACTACTAGTAACAAGGACGCTACTAGGAACAAAGGGCGTCGCGACTAGGAGCAAAGGACGCTACTAGGTTGGAGGCCATTGCTCTTGGCGATTTTGAGGATTATTGCCAGTATGAAGGTCCTACTGCGTGGCAGTACGACCCCAACTGCCAAGGTTGTGGCCAATCTTTGTTGAAGGCTTGGGCTGCTCAGTGAGCGTTTCGTTTGTGTTCCAAAGCTTCGGCTTTTGTCTCTACTTTTGGAGGTCAATGCGACCACCAAGTGCCTTGGAAATTATAGCAAGATGATATTCATGTACGGTGCCAACCGTGCACCGTGCATGCAGCTGCACAGGGGAGACGGATTTCACCGAGTTTGTAGCAAACTGTATGCGATTCCTGACTTTGCGTTGCTGTTTTTCCAATTCATAAAACCTCAAGAAATCACATCACTTAAGAAGGAGTGGTGCGTGCGCTGAACAGCGTATGTATGTGTGTTTGTGTGTGTTTGTGCACACCTTGGATTCATGGGTAGTCGTTGGACTTCTACCTACCACATTGCTATTAGTGTGGTGCGCAGTCGGTCACGCAACAAAGACACTCCGCACTTGCTGTAACAAGTGCCACGCTACTAGTAACAAGTGCATCGCTTCTAGTAACAAGTGCCTTACTAGTAGTAACAAGAAGCTATTAGAAACAAGTGCCTTACTAGTAGTAACAAGTGCATCGCTAGTAGTAACAAGTGCCTTACTAGTAGTAACAAGAAGCTATTAGTAACAAGTGCCACGCTACTGCAGTGATAAAAATTGGACGCCTCTGGACGTACGGTGTTGCAATAACTGCTGTGTCCTTCGCGGAGAGACCATTAGCGCTATTTACCCACATGTTCACTGGGATCTTTACAATGCCTTGTTTCTTTTCGGCGCCGTCAGCTCATACTCAGTTGCAGACTTTCTTCGGAGTCAGCTTGCAACGTCATTGTAAACGGTTGATGTACAAAACAAGAGTTCGGCCACACTAGGCTAACATGGCTTCTACAAGACCGTGAGAACAAGGATCCATCCCATGTTGGTGTTGAGAATGAAACTATCTATGCCAAGGATTTCCTTTGTGTTTCTTGCAATTGTTTTGCTAGCACTGCTGAAGGAAGACGACAAACGTTGTTTTATACCTTTTTCATCGACTTGCCACGCAACAGCTTTGCTACGCAACCAACTTGCTAAGTGACAACATGGGGCGAGGGTGAGGTGGCGAACGTTGCACTTCCTCCGTGGGTCTTTGGTGCAACTTTGCGTCTCGCGATGTGCTAGTGCGGCTAGTAACAAGTGCCTTACTAGTAGTAACAAGTGCCACGCTAGTAGTAACAAGTGCCACGCTAGTAGTAGCGAAGACGGAGCACCTTTGAGTTGGGTACATCGACCTCCGAAACACGAAAAAGACGTAGTTGGGGGGCACTCCTGATCTGCAAAATACGCTCCTCACAGCGAAATCCACATGTCACTCTCCCAGTCAGGTTGAACACTAGCGTCCTTGTTACTACTAGTAAGGCACCTGTTACTAGAAGCGATGCACTTGTTACTAGAAGCGTGGCACTTGTTACTACTAGCGTGGCACTTGTTACTAGAAGCGACGCACTTGTTCCTAGTAGCTTCTTGTTACTACTAGTAAGGCACCTGTTACTACTAGCGATGCACTTGTTCCTAGTAGCTTCTTGCTCCTACAAACTCCGTATGTGAGAAACACTGTCAGGCTAAAAGTGTAGCTTTGAAGTTCAAATCACGAGGAAAGCCCACGGCCGTTTACACACTGTGGACATAGTTACACCGTAGATCTTTGGTTTGGCAGTCGGCAGATGCGCAGTAAAGGGTCGGATTGAACGGCTACACACCGCTGCATAGATTTGTAATTTGTTCACTATAGTCCTTCAAGAGAGGTCGCACATTCAGTACGTACTCCTCGAATGTGTGTCATGTGAGATTCCTTCATGGTTGTGTGACAACTGGATGAGAACCGTTCAAGCTGAAGCCGTTATTAATCACACCAGGCATGCTTCAACTTTCCATTGCAAGCCCCGACTGGTTTATGGAAACCCCATAATTTCGCCTTTTGCGCACACATTGGTGTTAAACCGCTAACGTGAAAATCCAGGTGCAGCAGCTGGACTGGAGGGACATGCATCTTCTCGAATTGCGATGCCTCCCGAGGGCCAACGCAATGCAATTGGGCAAAAGCGTGCACCTGTCCGCAGAATTTCTGTTCCGCGGCCAAAGATTGTAGGTTGGAGGCCATCGCCATCGCTACTAGTAGCAAGGACGTATTAGGGAGGCCATCGCCAAAGGAGAAGCGGACGGGAGTGTTAAGAAAAACCACCTCTTGCAGCTTGCATGATAGTGACGAGGAGCTCCCAGCAGCTCTCCTAGTAGTAAGGCCAGGAGCCGCTAGTAGCTTCTTGTTCCTAGTAGTAAGGCCAGGAGCCCCTAGTAGCGTCCTTGCTCCTAGTAGCGATGCCAGGAGCCCCTAGTAGCGTCCTTGTATGGTTTCTAGATTTTTTGGAAATTGAGGTTTACCCAGCCTGCAGGGAGTGGGTGTGATCATGTTTGACGTTTGATCTGAGGTGCCAATGATCAAGGCATTTGCATCTTTGATTTGGCATCTGTTTGGCGTTGAGGCGGAGGCAGCTGAGGTGACCGAGATGATAGCGATGTGAGAAAGTAGAATGTGACAGTGATGGCCTCCAACCTAATAGCAATGGCCTCCAACCTAGAAGCGATGGCGTCCAACCTAAAGACCTAAAGTATAGTGACAGTGATGTTTCTTGAAACACATGGTTTCCAGCGATCAGGGGTTTGATTGCTGTTCATGTCAAGAGGACAGAGAGAAACGTGCAATGTTGGAAGTCCAAAGCGCCACCGTTCGTCCCGAAAGCAACCAGAATAAATGAATAGCTACTAGGGTGGAGGCCATCGCTTGACACAACGAGAAGTGTTGCATAGAGGCATGGAGTTGCGTCGGAAAACACCGAGAAGTTGGGAACTGACAAAAAGACCTTCCACCGCCTCTATGTGTAGCACGCTGGATTGTTTGACAAACAGTTCAAAGGCGTGATATTTCTTGAATGTTCAGAAACATGGCAACATATTATGTCCATTGTTTGTATGTACACGGCAAGAAGGTCGCAGGGCTCGCCGTGCATTGTTCATCATGGAATCGTGGGGAACTCGCAATGCCATGTCTTAACACGTCGCTGTCCTTCCAGGTTGTCTTTTGCCTTTACGCCGGCGCTAGAAGTCGGGAGGTCATGTTTGGTCCATGCTTTGGGGGGATTAGGTTGGAGGCCATTGCTGATAGGTTGGAGGCCTCTTGGCGCAGAACCAGGTGGGTTAAAAGTGTTCTCCCCAGGACTGAAACAGCTGCCAGGCCTCTCAACTCTGCTTGACCTCCCTGTTCGGACAGTTCGTGGCTCGTGCCTTTCTGGCAGTTGAGATGTGTTGATTCCTAAGGCTTATACTTTAACACTCTCCACTAGCACTCGTTGCCGCCATCCTTGTCATCCTCTCGTCAATCATTTTCAGCTGCGCTTTCTTCTCTCAGTTGTTTCTTACTTCGCTACGCCGTACAACTTAAGATGTTCTCAGAGTATGCCTAGAAACAATACCACCATAATCTTACAAATATGTGTGTTTTTGCCTGTGTTTTCACTGAGTTTCTTGGCGGGTGAAGGTTGTTTTGATTGAGCTCAATGCGGCATTTTTTGCTCAAGTGAATGCGACAATGCCTCACTTTACCACATGACAGCTTGTGCGCACCCGAGCTGCTCCTTTAAAGTCACACATGTAGACTTTGGAGGCTTTTGCTGCAAGAGCTGCCCAGCAAAGTTTGCCGCAAGCTTTTTTGGGTGAGTTACAAGTTTGGTGGTTTTCCAACCTTGTGTTCCTTCCTTAGTTCTTTCCTATTTCTTTTTTTCCTTTTCCCGAATGCGCAGCGAAGGGTTCTCTTTTTAACTTTGGGGGTCTGGGGGTAGACTCTTGTTCGCGGGTGGTTGGCGTAGCGACCGCAACCATCCGCAACAGTTCGCAACCGGCCGCGGCAGGATGCTATGGCGCTGACATTGGGTGAAGCTTTTGGAGAAGTTTTTGGATGGACAATCTTGTTGACCTACCGGACTCGCGCACATCTCTCACAGTATATGGATCGCGTGATCTGGAACGCTCAATCAATAATAGCACCATCTGGCCTCCATTGCCTGCATCCTCTCCCAAATTGGCAAGATTCTTCTCATCCTCTCCTTCTTGGCTCCTCTCTTCCATTCTCCTCTGAACTTCTTTTGCGCGCGTTCTTCTGATGGTGGTCATCAGGATAGTCCTCTAGACAACTCTCAGGTACTGTAATATCATCGCTCGGCCACTCCTCCTCCTTGAGGGCCGCCTTGATTCATCTCCGCTGGGGTCATCTCTGCGCGACGTTCTCATCTTCCGCCTCAACTCTCGCTTTTACGCGAAGGCAAGTTGATGCTTTTGAAGTGCCGTCGATGGAACGTAATCATCTTAAACTTGATCTGCAGACGCGCCAGGCTGTCCTTCTCAAGGTCCATTGTATTGATATTTGGATCAGTTAGTTGTCCTGGTTTGCTCAAAGGGCTGTCATCACCCATCAACAGTTCATGCTCTTCTGCAACTGCCTCTCAAGTTGGGAGCGTGAGCCGTGAGCCAAGGTGGATGCACCTCGATGTCTGACCTAGTACCCATGCCAATCACACAAGAGCTGAGCAACGGTGTGCTTAGTGGCCATGTCTCCATGTCTGTCATGATAAGGACCGAGTGAGCCGCCACGTCCTCCTCATCAGAGATCCGCGCAATATCAGGGGTCGCACTTGGTTTTTGTTCCTGCTTGATCTCTTCAGTGACCTGACCTCGGACATCCTTCTTGAGAAAGTGGTCTCCCAGAAGCAAAAACCGCATGGTATTTCAACGCCAAGCCTTTAGCGTCAATCGCTTTCCTTAACAATTTCCATCACCTGTGCCTCTGCTGTGATTCGCTGAACCTCCCTCCACCTTCTGACCTTATCCCTGCCATTCCTTGGAGCTATCTCGCGCCCAGAGTTGGTGAAAGACTTCAGCTGTTCCCCTGGCATATAGGGCATCTTTGATCTGCAGCACCCATGCGTCCGGCTGCACCATACTCCAACAGAACCCTCTCGCCACCCAGCACACTGAACTAAATCGTTGGCGTTGGGCGGCCTAGCAGGAGTGGTCTGGAAGGCGATCTCTTGCGACCCCCGCCTCGAACCATTGTTGATGGCGGAGCCAGACTGGCGCCGAGGCGTTGACTAGACGCCAATCCCAACCCGGAAGCAAACTGAGAATTTCGCCGAACGCTGCGCCTGCGCAGCGAAATCATCTTCACCCTGCTATGTTTCCACACCTTGTCCATTGACTCCCGAGCGGGCAAAAGAGCAATTGCAGGAGGGCCGGCCGGCTCACCCTCATCGTCCATATAGGCGGCCAATATTTCCACGGCGTGGCTCGTTTGAATCGCAGCCAGATGAAGTCAAAAAACGCGCTGATGCCATTTCACGCTCTGCGTGAACGGTTGGGTCGGTATTTTACGAGGGCGCTCAGAATTTAGGGCGGGGAGGAGCAAAAGAGCGGGCGGCAAAATTCTCGTAGCAAAGCAATGTATGCGTCCATGACTTGCATGGGTTGCCAAGATGGTGGACAACGGGGGAACCCCCAAAGCGATAGGAAGTTGATTGACATATCTATCCACCTACTTGTCCCCTGTCCAGTTGCCTGTTAGCCAACATGCACCACTGGCCCTATACCGTCAGACCCATGCTTCACAGAGCCCAAAACAGTTCTACGTTGATTTTTGCTTTATGTAGGGTTAGCAGGTGGCTGTGAGCGCCGTGCAACGCCTGGCGTCGCTGTCAGAACCGAGAGCGCGCGCCAACAGACCCAGACGCAGAACATCTTGGTGAGGACGCAGACGTTCAAAATATCTAAAGCGTCGGAGGCAGGGGCGGCCTTCTACTTGCGATCTTGAGAAGCAACAACCTCCTCCATTTTCAGCACCGCAATTTCCAACGCCTGCGCCGGCGCTTAGCAGCAGCGAGAAGAAGGCCGGCGGCCGAACTGGGTAGGCTTGCCCCATCAAGCCAGCCGTGAGAGGAATAAACATTGAGTTCCCACGCCATGTTGATTTGATTAGTTGGGCCCTGAGCAAAATCAGAGAGCGGTTTGTGCAAAGAGAGCCTGCCTTGCAAGCGGTTGCGCGCGTCGTTGTTCCGAGGCATCCGCTTGCGCAAGCCGCAATATCCCTTCTTGCAGACTCTGGCACGCGATTGCTCCTTCCAATCAAAGTCGGCGATCTGGCAAAAGGACCCTTTCTGACTTCAGGCTGTCGCGCAGCGATCTGCAGTCTGCCACCTGGAGAGATCCCATGTTTTTGGACGCAGCGCACTACACACAGTATGCAATTTGCATCGGTGTTGGCAACACGGACGGCGGCTATTTGCAATGAAGGCAGCAGCTTGATAGTTTGCAAGGAAGGGAGAATGTTGGGCAGCCTTGCTAGTTATAGTTTTCATTCTGCTTGGCCCCTTTTCCTCGTGAACAGAGAAGGCGATCGCACCGATCGGGAGAGAGAGACAGACAGAAGACTCACAAGTGCGATATGCAGGATGCGGGGCGCAATCGCGAAGGGAAATAATATAATAGCTGATGAGACAAACTCGATGTGTAGGCGTGTGGGCTGCGTGTTGGACAGGACACGAGCGAAGTCAAATGAAACGGTTTCTTCAAGTGACAGAGCGTTCAACTGTGTGACATTGCAAAAGATGGAGGGTGGTGACTAGGGCGGCGTGGAGTACAAGGCAAAGGAGAGGTTGTGAACGTGAAAGAATTCAGATGAGGTGAGGAGATCCTGACGAAAGGACGAGATCGAGGAGGGCAGCCAGGAACACCAACATCATCCGCTCCGTGTTACTCCTTGTCTGAGCAGGACCAACCAAGAGCGGAAGAACCTAGAGACGATGAGAGTGAAGAGGAAGCCAGCCACTGGCGAGCGGTAGGTCCACACGAACCTCGGACTATGGCGGCCAGGCGTTGGCCACTAGCGAGGATGTCACAAGAGCAGCGAAGACAAGGAACCCGCTCTTCGAGGTGCTTGCTCATACAAGGCGAGAGCCTGGTTGAGGGCGACTTTCTTTTCGCATAAAAGACTTCGACTTTCTTTTTCTGGGGCGAATGCCATTGTTGGCGGCGCTTAGCGGTTGGCTGGTCCAACTCGCCGGGCAGTGCGCGCATGTTTTCGGCACTCGGCGAGCCGGTTCTCGCGATTGATAGTGCAGATTGAGGCCAGCTTGCTAGGTAATTAGGCCATCGTTCAATGCAGGACGGCGGCACAGTTTGAACTTGGGTGATGCTCTTGAGGCACCACGGCGCTGAATGTAAAGTTCCCTTTTGCAATGGGGGGATGCTATTTCAGCTAGCTGGCACTGCACCAACCAAAGCGTTTGACAAGTAGACGTCTACTGGAAGGACGCTGTTTTGGATGATGATTGATGTATGTGAAAGAAAGTTCTCGACTATAAAGAGTCAACCACTTTGTTCGTTCAAAGGACGAGTTTTTCATCATGTGGTGGAAGGCTCTGTGCTTTTAAATCATATAGCACGTATTTACGAAGGGGAAGGCTCTTCAAAGGGGTGGGGGAACTTATGTCCAAACCTTCGATGTTTTGAGTGATCTCAACTTTGTCCAAAACCCGAAAGCAGCCGAACTTTAGACAAATTGACTGTGGACTGATTAGTTCCCACACCTTTGTTTGTAGTTGTTTGTGTCCTTTTGTTTTGTTTATGTTGTGTGCCCGTTCCTTTTCGCTACGACAAATTACAACGCAATGTATGGAAGGCCTGCTGTAGAGTGAAATCGCATCACAAAACAATTGAATCACTTGTTCACAACAAGCAAAAACATCACCCGAACATTGGCAAAATGATTTGCTAAAGGCAAGGTGTGGGCACAGTAGTTCCACAACATTTGCGCTGACCAAGGATGCCACAGCACTTTCGTGCGCAATGAACCCAGTGCACATGGCGCAAAGTGCCAAAAGCAGAAAGTGTCCGGAGTCCCCAAAGCAGATCCGGTTGCTCCGAAAGATCCCTTGCCTGAGTGACCGAACTTTACACAGCAAGCGTTTGATGTGATTTCGTTTTTTTGTGGCGCTCACTGTTTGTTGCTGTCGTGGATTTTTATGCGCGAAGACGATTTCAAGTGTTTGGCCCATGTTTTTTGCTTCAGGGCCACTTCTAAAAACGCCTTGAGGGCGGCGAGACGTTCCTGGTGGGAAGAAGTTCCAAAGAAGGACTTGCGCAATGTCACCGGGGTTCAAACGCCAGAGTCGCCTGGGCACCCTGTTCGTGATGTCGTGAGATCGAAGTTGGGAAGCACGAGAAAGACAGAAGAAACACGGGCATTCGAACAGACAAAGAGAAGACGATGTGATAGAGATGAGATAGATCAGGCAGATCCAAAAAAGGATGCCAAAAGTCGAATCAACTCAAATAGTTCGAGGTGTTCAGCTGTTTTGACCCCGAGGGTCCGCACCGTCCAGACGGAAACAGAAAAAATCGAGGAATTTGAATGGATTGAAAGTGAGTCTGAACAACTCGCTAAAGCCGAGCAACAGACGGTAGAGGCCAGCGCTGAGCCGTCGATCAAGTCTAACCGGTTTGACTGGCGGCAAGGATGTTTTTTGGAAGTGAAGGAGGGCATCACAGAACTTGCGATATCTTTTGCCAGTTGGAATGTGACAGATATTGATATCTCGAACTGGATCAGTTGGATGAAGAGCCAATTTTCGCGAGGCCGCTGGAAGATCACGAATTTGAACTTCTCCAACAACCAATTGACCTCCGTTGGCATTTCCAATATTTGTGATTTTTTGCGACTCACCAAAGCGACTTGTGAGAACTGGAACTTCGAAGGGAACCAGATTGCAGATGATGGCTTCCTGAGCGTATGCTATCACGTTGCCTCTGAGACCGGCTCGGCTGCAAGCTTGAATTTTGCTAACAATGCAATCACCATGACAGGTTTATCATGGCTCTTCAACATTTTGAGCTGGCACCCAATGCACCCTCTTCAAAAATCTGCGAAAGGGGGAGCGACCTTCTACCCCATGAAGGTTCGCTTGGACAGTGTGAAGATTGACTCTGCTCAATTGGATGCATTCTTTGACTCGAACCAGTTCAAATTCTTGTGCTGCAGTGTGTATGTTGGCTGCAGTTACAGGCAAAGAGTTGGTGCCACGGCCAGGAGCAATGTGGTCGTTCAATTGGAAATGGGTCCAGGCTTCGAAATGAAGCGCATCATGAACGAATTTTCCATGCTTCGTTTAACTCCTCAGTGTCAAGTCCATCGATCTCCGACCACGAGTCGGACACGCTGGTTCCAAGTGAACGCTCAACATTGGCGCACAGCACTTTTGGGACGCTAAAAAACCTTTTACTAATTATATATATAATTATTAAGTATTCTACATATTGTTATTTTTTGCCGAGGTAGAGATAGTAGGTAGTAGGTAGTAGAAAGCAAACGGTAGCTAGTAGGTACAGGACGCTGACGTAGGAGAGCTCATGCACTATTCATTTGGTTCCTAGTAGCTTCTTGTTCGTAGTAAGGCCAGGAGCCCCTAGTAGCGTCCTTGCTCCTAGTAGTAAGGCCCTTTGCTACTAGTAGCTTTCTCAAGCTCCGAGGAACCAACCATCATTTTTGAAGAATGAAAGAAGAAACATTGCTCCTAGTAGCGATGCACTTGTTACTAGTAGCGTGGCACTTGTTCCTAGTAGTAAGGCCCTTGTTACTACTAGCTTTTTTGTTACTACTAGTAAGGCCCTTTGCTACTAGTAGCTTTCTTGTTCCTAGTAGTAAGGCACCTGTTACTACTAGCGTGGCACCTGTTACTACTAGCTGAGGAACCAACCATCATTTTTGAAGACTGCGATTTCATGGTCATTACAAAGCCGGCAAGCTGGCATTGCACCGAGACGCAGCACCACATGGGAGCCGTGCAGGACATTCCTCATTTGTGCACGCTGCAAGCTTCATCGATGAACACGACCTCTTAAAGTGCAGGCCATTGCCCTTAGGTTGCAGGCCATTGCCCTTAGGTTGGAGGCCATTGCCCTTAGGTTGGAGGCC